TCTCTCCACCCCCTCTGCCCTTTCTCCCAGCTTCTCCCCATCTCCACTCCTCCAAGGACCTCCATCAGCAGGATAAGAAGAAAAAGACTGAAAACATAGGTGTTGGATGAAGTAGAAGGTGTCAGCCCTCCATTTATCTCCTGAGTCATTCTGTCAAGGAACATTCCTAGTGTCAGCCTCTGTAGATTCTCTGACTTGGCTCGCCCTGCTAGCCTCAATCAGTTAAGGCCCTTTTCGCCTCTGTCCCAACAAGGTCGCAGGGAGGTGCTATGCCCAGGGAGGCCTTAACTTCCTCAGCCCAGTGGATCTTAGGGGCATCTAGCCTCAAGGTCCCCCACGCTGCTCCTGCCACTTTTGTATTATCCAAGTATTTGGAGTGTGTTGGCATTTCACCTCATTCTGAGTTAACTGTCTCCCTCTGCCTGTTTCCCTTAATTCCTCACTCATCAGTTTAACAAAAAGGGATGATCTGGGCCCAGTAGGGGAAGTTTTGCATTTTTTTTTTAACATGACCTTTATGTTTCTTTTCAGAGTCCCTCCCAGTCTTATTCAGAAGCAGTCCAGGATTTCATTCTGTACCTATTGTCCCTCTTCAGTTGTGTAACAAAGAACAAAGTGTCCCCTTTTTAAAGTGTTTATTACTTCCACAACTTCCTGTGGGGTGAGCAGCTGTGGATGACACAAAGCAGTTAAATATAAATGCATCTCCTCATCCTTTTGTTTCCCATGAACTTCTGGGCACACTTGGGAAAGGCCTGGAATGTCTTCTGAAGGGAGCATCCCAATGTTTTGTTTTGGTCTGCCATAACATTGAGTGTAATATTTATTTGGTGTAATCTGAGTAAACGTCTTTTATTATTATTATTACTGCCTTGTGCCCTGTTTATTTGAAAGTTAAAACCTGAGTTGAAGTAGGTGGGGTAGCTGCTTTGCAAACGAGTTGAAATGAATCTGCCTACAACTGGGAAAAAAAGATGTTTCCTTTGCCAAGCAGGACCTCTGCATGGGGTGGCTTTGGGCTCTGGAGCTCCAGGGGATTTGGGGCCTGTTAGGATCTTCCCTATGTGCCTTTCACCACGGTGTGTCTGCAGATTTTTACACAGTTGAAGCTTGTGCTTATGATGCAGGTACTTGAGATCACTTACTAAGTGGCAGGCACTTTTCAAAGGCCCTCAATTTTCTTCACTGTCTACAAGGTGAATTCTGAGATCAACCCCATCGTATAAGACAAGCGAGGTTAGGAAACTGGTTGGAGGTTGCACAGCTAGGAGGTGGGAGACCTGGGTTCTCCTCCCACAATTAGACTTTCCTGTAGACTTTGTCTTCTGGACTACGTGAGCTAGAATACTTGGACATCTAGTTTCTACAAAAATCCATCCATTTCCTTCTGAAGTAAACAATATAGACTCTCTCTTTCTCTTTCCCTTTTTCTTACACACACACACACACACACACACTCACACACACCCACACACACCGAATGCTCTGCTGCTATAGCTTTTACCAGCTCAGTTTTGTCCTGAATATTATTGAAACAGGCTATTCTCCATCAAAAGAGCTACAAAGTACATGTATTTTTTTCCTTCCATGGATGATGGTGTTTTAAAAAGAATTTTAGAAGAAGCATTAGGACTTCTCCTTTCTATTATTTTTTTTTTAATTGGCAGCTATACAAAATATAATTTAAATGACTGAGCTGCCTGATCTAAAGAGACTATTTGGAGTATTTAAATCCAGTTCCTTGTTTTCCATTTTTTTTTATTAGATTTTATCAAGGGATGTAGACCGTGTGAAAAGAATCACCATGGCAATGTGGAGTACAATACAGTTCCTTAAAAGCTGCTTCCAGTGGGAATCCACGTTGAGAAGTGCTGTTGCATTCGTGGTAAGCCTCGATTTTATGTTCAAATTATTTGCTTCTGAGTCCCAAATCCAAATGCAGATGAGTTTTATTTTACTGACACGAAGCAGAGTAATACACATTCATCATAGCTGAAGTTCACACCTGTAAGGAAACTTTAAAATATAAATGGGAGATGAACCATGAGAGACCATGGACTCTGAGAAATAAACTGAGGGTTCTAGAGGGGAGGGGGGTGGGGGGATGGGTTAGCCTGGTGATGGGTATTAAAGAGGGGACGTTCTGTGTGGAGCACTGGGTGTTATGCGCAATGAATCATGGGATACTACATCAAAAACTAATGATGTATGGTGATTAACATAACATAATAAAATTAAAAAAACACTTCTATTTAACTGAAAAAATATAAATGGTATCCATTCATCTTTCTTAAATATATTACAGTATAGATGAATATATAGATGTCTAAGACTGTACTTACATCAGATTTTCCCTTGGAAATCCCTTAAATTACCCAAATCTTACTCATATACTATCGCTCAGTAAGTTTAAGAGACCTAAGTTCTGTATTTTTGTAAATTTTTTTTTTCACTCAAAAATGTGTCTTTATACACGGTGGTTATTATTATATTAACTCTGTCTCTATAGTCCCTCCATTGTGTATATTTCTCTCCCTCTGTCCCAGTGAATGCCGGGACTTTTTGAGAAAATGATGGTTGAAAACTCACATGACGAAATTGCTCTAATTTATGTTTTAAGTAAATCTTCACAAACTTTGATATAAAAACATGGATTCATATCAAACCACTTGAGTCACAGGACAAGGTGACCCAACACCATGTAAGAGAGTGACTAATGTACATGAGATGCACTCTTCCTTCTCTCTGATAATGCTGGCCCATCCTTAGGAGCGAAATAAAATCACACAATCTCAGGAGAGCCGCAAGAGATCTCGAGTCACCTAAGGTAACCACTGAGGGTCCGGGAATCTTGTAGGGACTTGAAAGTTGGTACCATGCCCTCACCTTATGGCTCTGGGCACTCTCCGCCATTTGTAAAAGGACTTGTTCTTAAAGAGATTGGTAGAAACCAAATCTCTCAACTGCTAATCTTGTCCCTTTTTTTTTTTTATCATGCTATTAATCTTTGTACTGGGCAAAGATCACAATAAGGCCTAATAGAATGTATGAGTGGTTCTGAGTCATGATCTTCGGTAAATCATGAATCTTCTGTCTCTGTTTTTTTGTTTTTGTTTCTGTTTTTGTTTTAATTGTCAGTGCTCTCTCTTACCTCACAGGCACATCCTCATTAATTTTTTTTTTTTTTTTTAATCAGCCTAAGATGTCAGTGGGTTCACGGTCACTCCCATCCTTACTCCTTATTACACAAACAAGTCTATCAGCTCCACAAGAGGCTTTTTCTTTGCCATGGAGGACATTCTGTTCAGTTTCATTAATTTTAGACTTTCATTGCTTCAAGAAGTAGAGGGCCTATGATGGCTGTGACCTGGACTTTTAATATACTTTTTCTTTGGTCTGAAATTGCTAAAAACAATTGGCCTTAATAAGAACACTAGTAAGAATGCTAGTAATCCATATCTGTCTTGTCTTGGCATTTATTCATCTGCTTCCCTTTCTTACAACATTCTCTTCTGCTGGTGGGGGGGCCTCATGTGTTGGCTTCCTCTTCATCCTCCCCACCTCCACTTCCCACCTGAATTCTCTTCAGAAACTTTCCACGGAATGTTCTCTTGTGATTCTGGGCAAAAGAGGAAAGTCAACACAATTGGTAGCTTCTTTCAGTCAGCACCCCAGCCAGCCCCTGTGAGGAGAAGAGGATTTCCTCTTTCTTGAACTTAATTTCTGGCACTGTGATTTTTAGAAAAACAGAGCTCCATTGCACTGGCTTATGTAGGAGAATGACAGAAATGATTAATGGGCTGCCGGCCTGATCTGAAGAAAGATTAGAACAAATGAATAGAAAGAGGTTGTCTACTAAAGGGGGCTTCTGAACGGGAGGGGAGCTTTGGCAGTGGGTCCTTGCATGCGTCCGTCCTGGGGGCACCATGCCAGGAAATGCCCTCCCAGGCTAGCGGATGCAGGCGGCCACTTCATCCTTTCAAATCACTATGGCCCCCCAAATGGAAGATAAAGATGGTGCTCTCCTTGCTGGTTGTCCACAGTGTGATTTTTGCAAGGGTTTGTGAGCCTGGGGGAGTCTCCACTGCGTGGAGGACATTTCCCACTGGACATCATTGAAAAAAATGCAGTCAATTAGGAATGATACATGCATGAACCTTTTCTGTGAAGGTACTAGAATGAGGAGTGCTCCCTTAAAGGCATTTAGTTTTCAGTTTTAATTTGAAATGCTGTGTTCAAATGTTTATCTCATGTTTTACTTTGACCAGCCTTGGCAGATCTCAGAGATATAAGAGATAGAGAGAGGTGTTCTCCCCTCCCTAAGCCGATGAAGTGTCATCTTATTAGAGAGTGTTTTTGTGACTACTATCATCATGGTCATTCCAAAACTCTTTCTGTTCCTAAAGCAAAAACATATAAAGAAAAGGTACTTTCAGGATAAAATAAAAATACGTATATTAGTCTCCCTTATTATATTTTAAGATTATGGGTATCCAAGACTTCATTTTTGGGGAGAACATTTTGCTTTTATGCCTCTTGCCTACATACTTATGATGTTAGCCTCCTGTTGAATGTACAGATGGGTAATTTCACACTTTGGGGCCACCACTGGCTGTGGTACTATGTCCCTGACTCTGTGGGACCCCATTAAGGGTTGTCTTTCTGCAAACCATTGGATCCTCAGGTGACCTGGGCCAGAGAAAGGAAGGGCTCCTGTGATGCCGAAGGCCTGCTTCTTCTCTTCCTTGCTCCGCTGTGGAGAACGCCGGGTTTGTCACTTGTATGCCCTGATTCTTTCCTGGGATCTACCAAGGACAGGATGCTGTTACTGGTCCTTATTCATTGGTGTGACAATTTGTTCATGCTTCAGTCACTTACCTTGGCGTTATAGGCAGAAGAGTTTTGTGGTGGTCTGAAGCAAGGTCTCAGGCCAAGGGTTTACTAAATAATAGGACTGCATTTGAAGGCCTTTCTATATTCGAAAGTAGGATGAGTGGTATCTGAGGGTTCATTGCACAGGTGGGTAAAGAACCATCTTTGGTGGGCCAGTTCCCAGTGGGGCTTTGCCTTCCCCTCAGGGTCCAGGAAGTGACTTTAGCACCGCAAGCTAAGGGCAAAAGTATAGGAATTTTTTTTCTTATGTTTTGTCAGATAACATAAAATAGCCGATTAACATCATGTCAGTGTCTCTGTTTTCAGAGGAGATAAAGCATGAACATTGTCGGATCGTGTTTGGTATATTCTGGCTGTTCAATTTAAGACTTTATGAAAGCAAAGCATATGTTTCTAAGGATTCCTATGGGTGTGTATATGAATATATCATAGCTTGTTGAAAGCAGGGTTCAAGACAAGTGGCCTATAAAGATAGAAGTCCACATGGTGTCTGGTCAGAAGTGGGTGGACAAACATGGGAGGATTTATCTTATTAGACTGTCCAGGCGTAAACCCTTCCACCCTGGGATTAATCCCCTCTCTACTTACCCGGGTGGCTGTATTCCTAACACTTGGAGAAGAAAGTTGTCTTTAATCCACCGACACATGCTATGTGAATGTTGCCCACAACATTGAATTCATTGTTGTAAGAAATTAAATTTGGATTTTTTTCGGAGGGGTCAAGCCATTCCAAATCATGCATCTACAGGCTCGATTTCTGTTTTGTTAGCATGACTATGGAAAATCTTGCTCATTTTGTCCCTTGGGTCTTTCTCTTTCCTCCAGGTTTTCTAGATATTTTACTCTGTTGCATTTTCTGAGCTTGACTTGTTATAAATTAATATGTATATATTTTGTTTTTTCTGCTCAAAGAGTCCTATTCTCAACTTTTCCAAGGGAAAACAAATTAATAGGAGATGTCAGTTTATTGACAGAGGCAAAGGGTAACTAAAAATCATGCCTGGAAGAAGCACATCTGGGTATTTCCCTGTGAATGGATTTGTAATTACACATGGTGTTTCATAGACCTGCACATGGTCATTCTCAGACAAGACTTTCACCTCTAGGGGTCTTTAATAGCTCACGTTTCAGTGCTTACTTTGTGTCGGGCGCTGTCCGAAGCATCTTGCAAATGTTACCTCATCTAATTCTCACCAATACCTGCTGATATAGGTACCGGTTATTACCTTCTTTGTACAGATGACAAAAATGAACCCATAGAGGTTAAATAGAGTGTCAGAGCTCATATGCTTTTAAGAAGCACAGCTGAGATATTAACCCAGACCATCAGGCTTTAGAGTCCATGTGTTTAACCATTGAGCTGTACTACCTCTCACTGATGTTCAGAATTGCAGTGATTGTGGTCCTGGTATTTAAATAGATGATAATGACTCTAGGGACAATGACATCAGTCATTTCAGATATGTATTTAGATGTAATGATTGGGAGTTAAGCCTTTTCCAAGATGCTTGGGGGGGGGACCCTCATCATTTGGGTGGGAATAATTCTTAGTCGTGGTCATTATATTCACAAGAGATGGAATCAGAACTAAAGAAGCATAAGGTGGAAATGTCTGTACCATTTCTGGGGAACAGCCCAGACCCTGGGAATCACATGCACATGACATCCTTGGAATCTAGCTTGGTGGTCTGGACAATCTCAGTGGCTGGTTCCAGGCTGAGCCCCAAATTGGAGACTGAGTTATTTTTACCCACTGTGCAGGGGAAGCTCTTAGATGATGGAGAAGGGCTTTCAAAGGAGCATGAATGCTGAAAACAAGTAATGAAAGAGTCATGGATGGAATCTACAGTTTTGCCAGATTCTTTATGAGAATTCCAGGTTGTTCAAAATAAGGGATAAGAGTAGAGACGAGCACATTTATCTATCTATCTACATTAATGCATTCCTTCAAACAGCTATCAGAGAGCTAGACCCATATTTCTACTGTGTGTG